CATCAAACTGGTAAGGGTCTTCCGAGCATTAGGAACCAATTGACAAGGAGACAAACCCAACCAAGAAATTACAAACCTAACAAAGGGTGGAGTGGGAAACTAGAGTCCGACTTACAAAGCAAACTCTAGGAAACACACTCCTCCATAGGAAGGAGAGCAAGCCCACTCATGTGCAGAGGGCAGTCGTAGCCAAACAAAATTTGGAAGACCATACTGTGACTTCAAAGACCCTATACTACTTTATGTATAATGACACTCTATTTCGTGAGCCTCCCAAAGGTGGACCTATCAACAAAGGGAGAGAGGGAGTGTTCAAAGCCCTCATCCCTTAAACCTGCAAACTCATTTCGTTCTGAGTCTGCATCTAGGTCAGACAAACCCAAATGGACATCCCTCCTAACTTCACTTGACATTGGCATAGAAACAAAAGGATAAACAAGACCCTGATGCTTAGAGATTGCCTTTGTAATTTCCTTAGAAGAACCTTCTAAACGCTGTTTCCTAAAACTAGGGGTCTCAAGAAAGAACTTAACAGGGGAATTAAGAGGGTTGTAAGGGCTGACAACGTTGTCCGACTCACTATAGCTATAGATTGTAATGAGATCGATGTTCATAAAGTGGGGAACCGAAAAAAAAAGAGAAAAATCCCTTCACTCAAATTCTAAAAACACGAACACAAATAAATCAAAAATGGAAGAAGTTGAGGAAGAAAACGAGGATGGTACATATAACATAACCAACGAACTACATTCATTTAATCCAAAGACAGGGAGCCTAAACTTCTGAAGAATATTAGGGTTCATGACATTAGGCAGCAGTTGAAAGCCAACGTACGTAACATGAAAAGACAGCACCATAAATTCGCTTCCCTTGAAATTCGAAGAGGCGCCAAAACAACTATTCAAAACCCAAGAAAAGTAGAAGGGTCAAAATCACATTGCCGCCAAAGGCGATCACCGAAGCCAAAACATGACCAGGCAAATTACTCATGACCCACCTCTTCAAGGGGTCACAAGGAATAAGGGGGCAACTAATGGATATAGTCTAGACCTTAGAGTTCGGATATCGCTTCCCAGTCTTCGAAAGTCGCCAATCACATTTAACATGCTGACATGTCAGCGTGCACATGCACGCATAGGCATCAGAAGAAACATGACACTTGGCACGTTATACTCGACATTACCCATGGATTTCTGAATTAACCATTAACAAACACCAAGAATTGGGGCACATGCATAGATTAGCTTAAGGCACATTCAACAGTACATGGTTAACCCTAATGATGACCCCTTAAACCAAAATCTCACTCAACCTCATCTATAAAAGTCCTCATTAATGAAGGGCAAAGGTAAGTAATTCTTCCAAGAGGAATTAACAGGTGCCCAGAAAAAATTCAATCATTTCTTTATTACTTTTCACTTATACTTATTTACTGACATAAGCATCGGAGGTGGTTCAGCTGAGACCACACTAATTTCTTACTCCTAAACTTTCATTGACAGGTCTTAAGATCTCAATAGCCGGAACAAATAATGACCTCTAACAACAGGTCACAAAACAACGACCTCTTCATAGGAGTCCATAATAGATTTACTGATTGATCCATCAATAATCTTAGCTTAATAAATTTATAAACCATGACACTATATTGAAAAGCACACTTTTCAAGTCTAAGCTCTTTAGAGAACCAATAAAAAAAAAAGAACCAAAAAGATCACAACTTCATAACCTTGTTCCTTAGCCCCTTCCCATAGTATTTGGTTCAAAAAGACTAATGTTATTTGAACCTATGTTCCTGGCATAATTCTCTTGAAAAGCGATACCCAATTTTACCCCTAGAAAAAGTAAAAGACATAGGTTTTCCATTCTAGAACAAAGTGAACAAACACATATCTAGCAAACTCAAGCCTTCTATGTTCATCACTAGGGGGACCTGCGCTTAAAGGCATGGTGCAATATAAACCTAATAAAATCATGAAGTAAGTGAGAAGTGATGGATTTGGAGAAGAGGGGATTTTTTTTTGGGGGAGGGGAAGAAATTCGATGTGAATGATTTTGATAGAAATGTTGGTAGTCATTGAATGAGTTTATTTAAGACCATCATATGGGCTAATTGAAGTCTGTCTTATTTTATATTATAGATTTGCCCCCAACAAAAGTCTCAAATTGACCTGTAATCATCACTACAATTACATCCACTTTTCCACCTCTATTATTACTAGGATTTGACTACAGTATCAAAGAAATAATTTTGGTAAAGTACGTCAACTTTCATTATTTTAATGGGTTTTTTTATAATTTTTGTTGTTCATTTTACAACCAAAAAATTTATCATTTTTGTACGTGATTTATCATTTTTATGAATGTTTTTACCATTGTTGAGTATTTTTACAACTTTTGTAATAACTATTTTTATTATTTTTCTTTGGTAAAAAAAAATTATCACATTTTTGTGTATTTTTAATACATTTAGAGGTATTTTTACCATTGTTGTGGTAACTATTTTTATTATTTTTTGGGTACCACGACAATGATAAAAGGACTCAGCAATGTGATAAAAATAACCACAAATATAATAAATGAAGGTATGGTGCCAAAAAAATAAAATCAATACCGTAGTGAAATCCTTATCTGCTTAGTCACGAGAAGGCTTCCAACAGAAGGGAGAAGAGATTCGTGAATGCCCTGACCATTCTACATGAGTCAGTCTAATTTTTTGGGAATGATTAAATAAATTTGAAGGGGGCAGAGAGAGTCTGTGGAGATGGCTCAGTGGTAGAGGAATCGTAATGTATTCAATCTATCTGCAAGGACATGGGGGTAGGAATGCATTTTGTTGGGTTTCTAAATTTCTTCTTGGGGCATTTTGGTACTTTACTCAATTTCGTTAGCTCCATTATCCAATTATCAAGATGAGGGTTTGAGTATAGGATGTCAAACGTGAAATCTATGTTATTATGTGACAAATTTCAAGAGATCTAGCTATAATTTATCATACATTAAATAATTAACATTATAATTAATTAATGAGTTATAAGTTGTCTATTGTACAAAAATCTTAACTCCACCCTATAAAAACTACAATAGAAACTATAAATATTAAATATTAGTAATGCAAAGCATATCTCAAACATAACACAGTGTTGAATGATAGTAGTAAATACATCAAATCTCTTCACACCACAAGCAAGTTTCAAACCTATTTATCAAACTCATGTAATTTTTACAAAACATCATTCACAGTGACACTTTCGATATTGTACAATCTAAAAAACATCAAAAACTTGGGTATTGAAATTCACATTAAAATTCGGTTATTAACCGTTATGTTAATCTAACTAAGCTCGTTCCAAAGAGAAATAATGAACAATCAATGGTGGTCCTACTAGTAAAGACCTATCATTATGGTCCCTAAACATTCTCTTTTGTCCCCACCTTTTTTTCTCAATAGCATAAAAAAAAGTAACATTTTTTAAAAGTTTTAGGTTTGTAAAATACAAAAGAAACGCATGGGCTTGGAAAATAAGATAGATTTTTTACGAGCATGGGTTTAGTGAAAACTCCACCAAAAGCGTATTCTACTTCTAGCCTAGAAAAGCCACATACAGCAGCTGCAGCAACGGCATATACCAGCTCCAACAGGCAACATCAAATAATGTATTATTTCATTCATTCACAACCAGATTGGTTCAGGAAACATTGCAGAACTACATTTTACAAGCAGGTATCTTCCCTCACCTATAAGGACACCCACAATCATTTTCCTTTAGCCATTGTAGAACAATTCATAATATACGAGCTAAGTAAAGAATCAAGAAATCTAAGACATTATGTAAAGTTCTCAGAGAAATCTATCTTTGGAATTTAAACATAAGTAGCTAAGCCTACAATGGTTTCAAATCTCCAACATTACAAGCTAAACAAACCAAAATAGAAAAATCACTAGTGCCAGTCAGATTACGGGTCAGCTTCCTGCCTGCTCAAGTACCTGCAGACAAGATGGCAAAGCAAATTGTTACACAACCTTGAAGATAAATGGAAATATAAAATTCCAATGATCTTAACAAGGATAAAACATCCTCTATAACCAATCTCTGCATCTCAATAAAGTTACATCATATTGTGTCCAAAACTGAGTGGCTGATGATGCAGGACAGAAAAAACATATACGAACACACGTGGTCAACAGTAGAAATAAGCATTTACAAGTCACGTACGTAGACACAAGCAGTAACATGGTAGACTGCATATCAAAATAGTACCACAGTAAAATAATTGCATCATGTAAAGAAAATAGCTCCTATAGGGAAACTTTCAAGTTTAGCTTTCTATTGTTATCAGATTAGAAATGAAGACCACGAAAAGAAAGAAGACGCTGAAGAAGAAGAAGAAGAAGAAGAAGATGAAGAGGAGGACGATGAGGTAAAAACAATGCACAAGCCAAAAAAAAAAAGGAAACCCTTCTTCCATTAAAATTTGTGTAATTCAAGAATTGAGTTATCTTATTAAAAATGCACAGCTCCCTGGAAAATGATTTAATACCGTTAGTTTGTCTTACGTGAATGAATCCTAATGTCACACTAAGAAATAACTAAGAGTAGCACTTATGGAAGAAACACCTGCAATATAAATAGTCTCCCAAAAAAAAAGTAAAACAGAAAACAGGTTTCCAGTCAGAATGGCTGCAGGATTTGTGAAGTCAAAACCACAAGTTGGGAAAAGACAGCATCAACAAGCTCCAGAAAATTAGATTTTGAAACCGTGAGTCACTGAGTACAAAAATAACACTAAATCAATCATTGCCAGTTAGCTATACTCTTTTCATACATGGAGAACTGTTTTACCAAACTGTTTGAAACAAATTAGAGATGATATGACAAATAACATTTCACCGCTGGTATCTGCTAGTCTAATCATGATGAAAGACAAGGCATAGTCAAATCAGAAACATTATATACCTGTACAGCTTCTAATCTGAGAATATAGATGCAGCAACTAGTTCATAAGGAACATGCTTCAACAGCTGAGGCTCTTGGACACTGAACATCAAGCCTGTCAAACAGTTTTGCATAAGGGTAAGTCAAAGTAAGATTTAGAGGGTTGTTCACACCTTTTTCTTTGTACACCTTACTGCCTCCGTCTTCTGTGTAAGCAACATCATCGAAACCGCTTTCAATAGGCTCATTCGTATGGATAACCTTACCAAACAACTGGAATGAACTAATACCTACTTTTCTTGAAGAGTTGCAGCCCCTTTTTCCAATTGCCTCTCCACTGGAGAAATGTATACTACTCTGACTATCAGGTGATAAGTTGTCTGACTGTGAACTGCAAATGTTCAGCTCAGTAGAGACAGTTTTCAACTTTGGGGTCACGTTGTAAACAAGATTATCAGTGCAAAGTTGATGGGTATTTTCACTTATGTGATTGGATAAACCAAACACACAAATTTGATCTTGCCTGGCTCCCTGCATGCCAGCAGGAAAAGAATAATTCCTCAGCGATGGATTCAAGTGCCCCAGCATTGAGTTACTTAACCCTGTTATCGGAAAGAAGAGCTCTCCATCTCCATCAGATAGCAATGCAGTATCCTGAGGGACTCTCAATTTCTTTGCAGGGGGAAGTGCTGAATACAGTGGCGGTGTGGCCACAACATACTCAACTTGCCAGGGGCTCACTCTCTTCACATTCTGCAGAACTTCAGGCTCATCCCATGAAACCTGAGACAAAGAATTGAGAGTGCTAAGAGTATTAGAGCATTATTATATGTAAATACTAGGTTGAAATAAGTACACCATAGAGGGTATACTCGTCCTTTCTGTTAGTACAAGATAACTATTAATACATGTTTGTGAGAGGTAGGTTAGGTTTTTGACCACTCCCTGTTTCTCTTATGTTGTATTATGTCAACTATCTAAACGTAACATGCTATCAGAACAATTAGATCTAAACTTACTCTGCAATTAATCCAATTAATCTTTCTTTTCGAGCAATTAATCTAATTAAATCATCAATTCTTTTTGTCTTCTTCCTCTCTCTCTTTCTTGTTCCGCCACTGGTGAACTATGGCCATGGCATAGGGTCGTTGTCTGACCAGTAGTCGTGGCTAGTGTTTGTGTTAATATCGGTTGTGGTAGGTGATCAAATCCAGCATATGGTGTTCGCCGGTGTGTGGTTTGTCAACGTGTGGTGCTCGCCGGTGTATGGTTTGTCAACGTGTGGTGTTTTTCGTTGTTGCCGAAGGTCAACGTCACAGTGCTGATCGTTGCTGTCCATTCTGTGGTTGTGTTGGTCGCCGGAGGTCAGCGTCACAGTGGTAGCTTCCCTCAGCACTGAGTAGTGGATGTGGTGTGCGCTGCTTGAGCATCCAGAATAGGGTACCTAACCCTTGCAGCGAAGAAGGCCTCTTCTTCTTTTGGGCCTAACATAAGCCCAAAATCCATTTAAACCAATCAACCAAACCCACTGTCAGCAAAGCCCAATCAGCCCAGCCAGCCTTCAGCCCAAGTGGTTCATTCAAACCGGCCCAGCCTGCATTCAGACCGGTTCAACCTCTTCAGGACCAGTTCGGTTCTGCTCAGACCGGTTCAGGACAGGTTCACCCCAGTTCATCTGATCAGCTGGCGGTCCGGGTCCGGTTCAGCACTGCAGCAGGCTTGCTCTGCCCAGTTCAGCATTCCAGCAGGCGGTTCTTGTCACGTTCAGCCTTCCAGCAGCCTTGTTCTGTCCGATTCAACACTCCAGCAGCCTTGTTCAGTCCAGTTCAGCACTCCAGCAACCTTGTTCAGTCTAGTTCAGCACTCTGTCCCTCATTCTGGTCCAATTCAGCAGAATTTTTTTTTCTGATCCAGTCAAGCAGTCCAGCACTTTTTTCTGGCCTGGTTCAGTTGCCTCCTATGTTGCCTCTATGAACGTATTGCCTTTGGGTGTGTGTGTGAGTTATAAGGGCCTATGGCACTTCTGCTTTTAAGTAGAAGTGTTGTAGTGTTCTCTGGTCAAAATAAAAGGAATGTTTTATTTACTGTGTTTTTTGTTTGGTAATATGGAATCAAAGAGTGATGACCGGTCTGTCATTACTTCACTTGTGCCCACAACCTTTCCTCCTACGGTTCACCTTAGTAGTCTCATGACTTCTGTTAAGCTCAATGGGATCAATTATGTTTTATGGTCTCGTTTAGTCCAAGTATTTCTTAAAGACAAAGGTTTTAAGAAATATTTAGTGGAAATTGTACCCAAGGAAAGTGATCCTACAAATGATCGGTGGAAACAGAAGGATGTTCAGATTATGTCTTTACTTTTGTATAGTATCGAGACGAGTATTAACTCTACCTTGCTTTATATTGACATGGCCAAAGCAATTAGGGATCAATTGGTCATTATGTATTCTGGCACCGGTAATTTCACTCATGCTTATGAGGTGTGCCAACAACATTTTTTGCCTGGACCAGAATACTCTGACTCTCGCAGATTATTATTCTCATGTTAAGGAAGTGTGTGAGGAATTGAAACAATATTCCTCGTTCACTACTGATGCAGCAGTTTGGCAGAAACATGAGGATATGAATATTGTTCGTTTTCTGAAAGGTTTGAAATCCAAATATGAGCCTATTCACTCTCAAATTTTGGGTGGCTCTGGTCTACCCTTTCTCCTTGAGGTCTTCTCACGCCTATAGCATACAACCTTATCTATTGGCTCTGCAAGTATTGATCGTGACTTATTCACTGAATGCTCAACTCTTGTTGTTCCTACTGGCCACAATGATAGCTCTCGGGATAATCGTGGTAATCGTGATGATCATGGAGGTCAAGGAGGCCGGACTAGCGGTCGTCGAGGTCGATCTAGGTATCATTCATGCACTCATTGTGGTTGTGGAGGTCACACTATTGATTATTGTTGAGATTTGCATGGCAAACCATCTGGTGCTACTAATCAAGTTTTCTATCAGGATGACACTTCCTCTCTAGATGCTCTAGGCTCATGGCCAGCTCCACTCGACTCTGAGTTAGTTAATATCACACGAGAGGAATATGATCAGTTTATGTCTTAGCAACAGCATACTTCATCTTTCACGGCTACATTTGCCCAGACTGGCATCATTTCCACCTGTTTACTATCCTTCACTCATAGTCGCTAGATCATAGACTCCAACACTTCTAATCACATGATTCGTTCGTCTGGTATCTTTTCTACTTACCATTCTATTCCTTCATCCCATAGTGTTGTACTTGCTAATAGTACTTCTTCTAAGGTTACAGGTTTGGGGACTACTCAACTGAGTCTTGATATATCTTTATCCTCTGTTTTATTTCTCTCTCAATTTCCCTTTAGTTTACTTTCCATTAGCAAGATTATCCGCTCTTTCAATTGCTCAGTAACCTTTTATCCTTCTTATTGTGTGTTTCAAGATCTCTAGACGAAGAGGAAGATTGGTACAGAACATAAAGCTAGTGGTCTTTTTTACTTTGACCGTAATCTACCTACTCTGGCACCCAGACCTCATCCTCTTTAGTTCAGTGGTATTGTCGTCTTGGTCATCCCTCCATCCAAAATCTGAAGTGTCAAATTCTAAGTCTTAATTATATATCGTATGTGTCTTGTGAAGCTTATTAACTTAGTAAATATCACTGTGTGTCTTTTTAGTCTAAAGTCAATAATCGTGTATGTAGTCCGTTTGAGTTTGTGCATTCTAATGTATGGGGTCGAATAAAAAATATTTCATCTAATAAATATCCTCATTTTGTATCATTTGTAGATGATTATTCTCATGTGACTTGGTTATTTCTTATGAAAGTTTCTTCTGACTTATTTTCTATATTTGAGACTTTTTTTAAAAAAATCAAAATTCAATATGGTTATCGTATTTGTATTTTATATTCTAATAATGCTCATGAATATGAATCTGGCCCTTTTTTAACATATCTTCGTAAAACTGACATTATTCACCAGACTTCTTGTGCTTAATATTTCAAAAGAATGGTGTCGTTGAGCGCAAGAATCATCGTTTATTGAAAGTTATCTGTGCACTGTTATTTCAGATGAATGATCCTCGTTGTTTCTGGAATGATATTGTGCTCACTGCTTGTCACCTTATTTATCGTATGTCATTTTCTGTGTTAAATGGACAAAGTCTATTTTCTGTCTTTTTTCCTACTAAAACCTTATTTTTCTTAACTCCTAAGATTTTTGGGTGTGTCTGTTATGTTCATAACTTGAGATCTTGGTTTGATAAACTTGACCCTCGTGCTACTAAATATGTCTTTCTTAGATACTCACGCACACAGAAGGAGTATCGTTGCTATAGTCCTACCCTTCGTCAGTACTTCACCAGTGTTGATGTCACTTTTGATAAACTTATTTCGTATTTTTTGACAATTGCTCAGCCTTTGAATATTGACTTTGGGTTGTCACGAACACCCCTGCCTCTTTACTTACTGTCAGTTATTCCACTGCTTACTATGTACCATCTACTTCCCTGCTCCGTGATTAAGCCCGACGCCCGCGATCATCAACTGAGGTGCCCTTGCCATATCCGAATCTTGGTCCCATAGGTATTTTTGATTCTTTACCTACTACTCTTCAAAAAAGTACTCGCTCGTGTGTTACTAGTCATCCTATTGCTCATTTTTTTTCTTATGTACCTTGTCTCCTACCTTCTCTTGTTTATATCTCAACTATCTACTATCACTATTCCTAAGACCTTACAGGGTGTGTTGCCTGATCCGCGGATTGGAGGAAAACTACGGAAGTAGAGATGGATACCGTACATCATAATGGAACTTGGGAGCTTGTTCGTTTATCACCTGGTAAACGAACTGTTGATTGTCGATGGGTGTATACTGTTAAATTTAATCTGGATGGTTCAGTTGAACGCCTCAAAGCTCGTCTTGTTGTTAAGGACTTTACTCAAACCTATGGTGTTAATTACGAGGCTTTTTCTCCGATTGCCAAAATTTCCTCGGTCCGTATTTTAATTTTTTTGACTGTTAATCTTGATTGGTCTTTGTTTCAATTAAATATTAAGAATGTCTTCTTACATGTTGATTTGGTAGAGGAGGTCTACATGGATCAGTCCCCTTAGTTTACTGCTCGGGGAGAGTACTATAAGAGTGTGTGTTGATTAAAGAAATCTCTGATGGTTTGAAATAGTCACTGAGGGCACGGTTTGGTAAGTTTTCAAATTTAGTTTTAAAGTTTGATTTTTTTTAATGTCAGACAAACTATTCTGTGTTTTATAAACAAACAGATGTTAGTCATACTCTATTGGTTGATTATGTAGATGATATTGTGATTACTGAAAAATATTCTGAGAGAATTGTCAAGTTAAAAATCTTCTTGTACAACCGATTTCACAGTAAGGACCTAGAAAAACTCGTGTACTTCTTGAGTATTAAGGTTGCGAGATCTAAACAAGATATTTGTTTATCCTAGAGAAAATATGTAATTTACATACTAAAAGAAACAAGTTTACTAAGTGGCAGACCAATTGATATTTCTATAGATTCGAATCAAAAACTATTAATGCATGATCGCGCACTGTTTGAGAATCCAGGTCAGTATCGCAGGTTGGTTGGGTAACTCAATTATCTCACAATTACCCGATCGAATATTTCCTATATAGTTAGTGGAGTAAGTCAGTTTATGGGATGCTCTAGAATACCACATTGGGAGGCAGCCACTTGCATTCTTCAATACCTCTTTAACGTGCTCCTGGCCTTAAGTTTTTGTATTGAACCAATGGGCATCTTAAAGTGGAGAGTTTTGCATATGCTGATTGAGCTGACTCTCTTTTCGATCGGAGATCAACCACCGGTTACTTTACTTTTGTGGTAGGTAACGTTGTCTCATGAAAAAGTAAGATTTAGCAAGATTTAGTGTTGAGGTTGAGTATAGAGCAATGACACATACAACTAGTGAGCTGACTTAGTTACTATACTTTCTTTGAGAAATTAGTTTTTCAATTCAGTTTTCTTTACAATTATTTTGTGATAATCAGACAGTTATTCATATCTCTATCAATCCAGTATTTTACGAGATAACCAAACATATAAAAGTTGATTGTCACTTTATTCGAGACAAGATATTAGCTGGGGATATTACAGCTCTCTTTGGGAGGTCAGAGGATCAACTTGCAGAACCATTTGTTCCAAACTTGGATTATATGATATATACAGTCTAGCTTGAGAGGGAATGTTAAAAGTATTTGAGTATTATTATGTGTAAATACTAAGTTGTAATAAGTATATCATATAGCGGGTATACTCGTCCTTTGTATGAGTACAAGATAACTATAAATACAAGATGTTTGTCAAACATAGGTTAGGTTTTTGACCACTCTTTGTTTCTCTATGTTTTATGTTAACTCTCTAAATGTAACAATGGG